CCCCAAAACCCCAAAACCCCAAAACCCCGTCTCATCAATTTTTAAAATTTAAGGATATTAACAATTTAATAATTAATACCTCAAAGCTCATACTAGTCTAAGAGTCTAATAGGGAATAATAATTATACACAGAGAAATTATTCAAAAGATTATATGAGTTCCGAGAATAAAACTAAGTAATAATAATTTTAATTTTTCTATCAACTCGCATTAGCAACATCCAGCCTGTTTTTGCTGCAAAAGACAGCACCATACTCAATCTTTACGATAAGAGGTGGTTTCTTAAAAAATTCGGGGGTTTGTTGCCATAATGATTTAATTGTCGATTGAGCCATCTCTCATCTCCTATTATAGGTTTTTAGATATGATTTAAGTTGAATAAACTAACCAAATGAATGAACAAGGATTCAATTCAAAGCCATCTAATGTCATCAAGATCCTTAATCCGATTCATCCTAATTCTCAAGATTACAGCAACAAGATCATCAATGAAACTCTGACTGATCACTAAAAAACTCAGAACCGCGATTAAAGATTTACGAGCGAAATATTAGCAGAAAAGGAGGGGTAACTAAATCACAGCAATCCTTCTATGAGTTCTTCAAATGATGATGATTAATTGGACGATTCATCTAACAGGTCCTCAAATCTTCTTGAGGATGACCAGAATGTTGTAGAGATCGGGCATCAGATGTAGGTACCTTCGAATGTGTATCACATCGAAAACTCCATATCTAATTAGCCAGTCCTTACAATAGAACAATATAATGGACTACCGTAAGATGCTCGAGGTCTAGCCTCCGCAGTTGTTGAAGGGTCTGAGTAGTATCATTAAACTTCTGTCAAAATAAGCATAAATAATCTATCCAACGGCGATGATAACCAAAAAAAAAGGACTTTTTCTTAAGCATTTCAGTCTGAAGAAATTATGAATGACGATAACCATATAGATCATCCCCCATCAGGAGGTAGCACCAACTATCTTAATTAATATCAGCAGTAATCAATAGCTGCTTCAACAACGATAAGGCTAAACTTAGGATCATCATTAGTAAATAGTTAACCCTTGACGGCCAAGAATGGTGAGTTACCTTCATAGGAGACTAAAAGAGTCAAGACTGGCAATGAGTTCTCCCATAATTAGTCATACAATGAGCCCCCTCAGCACCTATAGCAAATTTAGCAGTTCTAGCCTCAGATTTAGACTGCTCAGTAAAAATATGATGATTTATTTAAGAGAGCAATTAGTAACGTCTTATGTTTCAACAGACAAATGACTTAAATAAGAATTCAAAATAGACAGCATTTCGCAATTGAAAACATGAAGAAAAAAGCAGAGAGAAATCAGCTGCATTAGAATCACAATAGTTTCCTTCACTGCAACTATCAGCCAGGCTAAAATTTTCTCAACTACATGAATCAGATCAATTATCAAAAATCCACATCGTATAACTAAATGAACTATGGTAATGCTCATTACTCAAGAATTAATAGCTAGAAATATAATCATTCATCAAGATAGTTCCAGATACCGCAGTCTCACTAAACCAATATTTAATAACCAGCAAGTAATATGCTTAACTAGAGTGTCTTATAAAAATAATCGACTATTGCTCACTTTATGGGATCTGGCGGTTTTTAAACTTCAACTTCTGGTAATAATTTAAACTTTTAAACTCAGAGACCCCCATTCGGTATTAGCAGTGTTGCTAGAGACCAAGCAAATCAAATGCTAGGGGAATAGGATTAGAGCAGGCTGGAAGATGTTCGATCTTTTGGCGACAAGCTCTAAGAAAATGAGTCCCCAAATAAAAGACATGGGGATGAAAAACTTCATGATAAAGGTAATTAGCAGTAGGACGGTGTCTCAGGTGACTAGTAGTTGAATGTTAATAATTCCAATAGTGCTAATGACTTCGTATGCATCTCTTGCCATAGAGGACACCCATTTACTAAAAAGTATGCTAAGAACTAATGCCAAACTTGCTATAAAAAGACTAAAAAATACTAGAAAGACTCTGAGGATTATTATGCTATAAACTAGCTAGTTCAGTAGCCTAATAATGTAGGATTTTAATAGCCATATCCTCCTTATTCAGGCTAAATCAGTCACTATGACTTGAATATGTCGCCTTAACTTATGAATGGTCACTATAAATCATATGTAAAGAATATGGAGAATGGATTGAGTTCTGCTAAGCATAGATCTTAAGCTGATGAGAGTGAAATTCAACAAGATTTGGTAGAATGAGAGGCAAATTAATATTCACTCATTTTTTCCAAAGAGAAGGGAAGCAAGATCACAGGACGAGTCAATTGAAGCTAATGGGGACTTTTAGTAGATCTAAATCTATTTCTGCATATTATCTCTTTAATTTTATAAGAAGTTAAAATAATACACTTCCTATATCTTTCCTCCTTCCCCATATTTAACAATGCGGGGTTTTGGGGTTTTGGGGTTTTGGGG